AGATTTAGAAGAGAAGGAACTTCCTCTCTTACCTCATGAAGAAATAAGTCAGTCTACTTTTTATGAAAGACAAATAAGCTCCCTACAAGAACAACTAAATGAGACTGAAGAAGCCTTAGAAATTGAAAGAGAAGAAGTAGCCAAATTTCAGGAAAAATCAGAAGAGTGAAGTAAAAAGCAAAAACAGGAGTTATTAGATAAGATAAAAAGTTTAGAAGAGAAAATTAATCATCTAGAAGAAGAAAACAGGAAATTAAAAGATCAACAAAATGGTCAATTAACTGCTCAAATTGAAGTTAAAGAGATTAAAAGATGATCTTGATTGAAAATAAAAAAGTAATTGAGGAAATTTCCTTCTGTATAAATTGAAATTCATTCCAATTATCAAAGAAAATGGTAGTTATTTTCCTTTTAAGGATTTTTGCTTTTTATTAGGTAATAATGCATTATCATATGCTTTCTTTTTCCAACATTTATTATTTTTCTTTCTTTCATAGGTAATCCTTTCTTTTCTTAGATAGGTTTCCAGTTCTGAGTATCATTTATTTATTTTGAAAATGTAAGGAGCAATTTTCTCACCTTGTTCCTTCTTCAAAATACTTCTAAATGTGCTATAATTCTTGGGTTCCATAGTAGATCTAATGTAAATGAGTTTCATATTAACTATTTTTATATAGAAGTAATTCTATATATCATTGAATATTAAGATAACAAACAAATGGAGATTTTAATAATCACACCCTGAAATTCTCAGTATATAATACCAATGTTCACTTTGTCTGGTTTTGTTGCAGCATGCCCCATATATGAGTGACACTTGACCCCCTGTATATCTGCAATGTCCTGCGATCGACGTCTCAAGGCTAACCCTTGTTGTAGATCCTTGGATTGGCTTAAGAAATTTGATTTCCTGAATTAGATAAATTTGAAAAATACAGCTTAACCCGAAGAGCAAGCTTTGATTGCAACTTTATACCTTTATGCTTTATCTTTGGGAGAATTTTAGTAACACGTTCGTTACAAACTGGTTTGATTAATTAAAGTTTTGCTTCCCATTTTCCTAAAGACTTGAGCTTTGCATTATTAAATAAAAAGCTTATCGGTTGGTGGCTGTTTCAAACTTAGATGATCAGAGTTTTTAATAGGAAATTCAATTTCTCATGTACATTGGAACAAACTTGCTTACTCAAAATTTGGTGTGATTGTTTGGAGTGATCGTGCTCGTAAAACAATAGGTGATATCGCCTAGAGAATTTTTTTGGACACAATTATTATGAATATCGGTTGTATTAATCACTTCATCTGAGGCTCGGAGTCGTGAAAGACAGGAGAACGCAGAAACGTCTTTTTTTTTTTTGCTGAATAAGTTATCTCTAGAGCTATATCTTCTCCATTGGCTATATTTCGTACCATCTCACCAATAACGACTTTTTCATTTGTATGTGGCCCACTTTTTTGTATTGTAACAAGAGCCGGTATTTGTTCTTCATTAAATCCAAGCTTACGAAGCGTGCTCGTGCTTGTCAACGATGACGCTGGATTAATAACATGACACTTAACTCTGACATATTTTCTCAGCTCATCTTTGTAAAATATGGGGTCAGTTATATTTTTTACTTTGAGTGATATTTTCAAATGGATGGAATATTAAAAATAATTTTTTTCATGAGAAGAATGGTTTAGAAGAAAAATTGTTGCTAAGATAATAAAGAATTTAACAAGTGAATTTTTTATTCATATGTATTAATTCTTCTCAATATATTATATATCTGCCCAGAAATAATTAAAGAATTGCGTAAAAGAAAATGACAGCCTAATAACGCTAATCGCTTTACTTTTTTTAAATTTTAAAGCAAATCAAACAATCGTCAGCCGAGGTGAATTTAGCAATTCGAAACCAATTGAAGATACTTTAAATATTAGGCAATAGTAATGATTAAAGATTTTTATAGTTATAAATGCAATAGAATATAAATCAATTATATTTTTGAATTTATTAATTACTATTATTTTTAGAAAAAATATAAAAATAAATAAATAAATAATACAATTACTAACTGATTAACAATAGATTAATAAATTAATAACCATTATTCCAACTATCAAATGTATTTAAAGTCCCTTCATTGTTATGGATATGATTAATATTAAAGTCGATATTACTATTGTTGTTGATATTATCATTAAAGCCACTTTCGGAGAAAATTACATTCTGATCAGTAAATGTGTGTGGATTTGTAGATAGAAAATCTATCGTATCAGTATGATTTATTGTTGTTGCAGAATTAGATGATGTTGAAGCAGTAAATGAATTATTTATCGTTGAATTATTGATTATGATTGGTTGGAAATGTAAATTAGTGGTGATGTTATTAGAGAATGATGATGATGGTGGTGGTGGTGGTGGTGGTGGTTGCGTTGGTTGTGTTGGTTGTGTTGGTAAATTATTTTGATAATTTTTATTGAAATCGTTTATTGAAAATGTAAAATTAAAGTTGTTCATATTATCAGGTAGATATGTAGACATATTATTTTTCCTTCTATTAAATTTTCTTCCTCTATTATTATTATTAGTTGTTGCATGCGAATCATATTCATCAGATTTCAACTGTTCTATATTTTTAGATTCTTCTTCTTTTGCTTTAACCAACAAATTTTTCAATGTCGCCTCACCATCCAATCTTCCTTCACCACCTGAAAACCTTCTCCTGGCAATTTCCCTAACTTGGACTTTGATTTCTTTTAATCGTTGCACCATACCTGCAGCCTTCTCGTTGCTTTTTTGAGCTTCTGTCCATGATAAAACTCTGATAGCTGGTGTTATTGAAAATAATGCTGAACATGACTGTTCAAAGAAATCTGGTACAGAATTCATCAATACATCAAGCCAATGTAAAAGTATTGTTGCTGCATGAAAACATATTGTTTGTGATGATATTCTAGATTCTTCGTCAATATTGTTAATTGGCATATTTTTAGGGGCATTTGATGTGAACATTGTCAAATTACGACTATGAAGCAGAATAAGTACTGTCCAGAATAAAGTATGCATTTCTCCTAAAAAAATTTTTATAAATAAAAATATAAATTTTAGAAATATAATATATCTCTAACAAATGTCAAAATAATTCACATTTTGAATTACCTCCAATTGAACCTAAAAAACTTCCTTCAACATCATGAGCCATTTCTTCAAATTTCAACCAATTAGGAAGAGTATAAAACCATCTTCCTAACGCAGCATCCAAAAATTTAAATTGATTTTCTTCACGGCGACTACCTGCTATTTTAGTTCGTCCATATAAATACTTGCGAATCTAATTAGCCCAAATAGAAAAATCAACTAATTGATTAAACTTTTCATTTTATTGAAGTTTATCGAATACAATTTTTTTTTTTAATGAAAAATTATAATAATTAATTAATACCTGAGCAAAAATTCTTAATAAATTTATATGCAAGATCCAAGCTATATGTGATCTTGTTTCTTCATCAGGCTCAGGATCTGATGGTATTGGAAGTAAATCTACATCACAAGTTGCTTCATCTATAGCACTTGGACGACCATAGGTTGCAGAAAGCCACCTAAACATTGAATATTAAAATACAAAGAAATATTAATTCATTATGAAACTGTAAATTATTTAGTTTAGTTAACGGATTCACACTCAAAATAAAATAATAGAAAACATACACTTCGCCAATAAAGCAACCCCAAAATGCCATGTCTCTCAATTCTTTAACTTCAGTATTTTGAACCTGATCATTTTTAATTTTACGATGCAAGCCTAGTTCAAATGACATTTTAGTTGCCATACCATAGAAAATCCAAGCAGATCCCATCTTTTTTTGAAAGGGTAAACAAATATATATTATTTTCGGAATTAAAATAAAATAAATAAAAGTAAATAAGCAATAATTATACCTTTCTTGATTGGAGTCCCAATATGAATAAACTCACAACTGTAAGGACATGAGGAGTTTGTAGACAATAGTTTTGCAATAAAGCTGATTTTTTATTTTTTAAAAAAAAAAAATATTTTAGATAATCTAATTAAGATAAAAAATTTTAAATTTTTATATACCTAATGCCTTCTTCTATAAATCAAATAAACAATAAAAAAATGATGTTTTTATTGTTATTAAATATATACACACACACATATATATGTATAAATTCATTTATATAATTATTTCTTTTAATAAAAACCTCATAATGCATTCTTCCATCTCGTAACTTTGGGTCTGGATGAAAAGGTGCTGCTGCAAAGAAAATGCTATTAAGCAAAAGAAATTGTTGTGGTGTTGATAAATCTTTAAAACAATCAGCTACAACCTTTCTCTTTAGATGCGGAAAATGTTTATATATTCTCTTAAAGAAAATATAGATTATTATTATTATTATTATTATTATTATTATTAGCATTATTAGCTTAAAAATAAAATATTTATGTGCTCATATACATAGATAGAAATGTTTGTTTTTATTTATACAAATATATACACTTACCTGAAAATAAACATTAATTAAACTTTCCGCTGTTTTAGGGTCAGGCAAATATTTTAATGATTGATCAACAGCTGATAAATCATCTTGTTTTTGTGGAATTATTTGTTCTTCACCAGTCTCATTCAACATTAATAATGATCCTGTACCAACATATCTAGTTGACTCATAGATTTTCAAATTATTGTTAAATTGATTTGCAAGTTCTTCTAATTGATCTATATTACTAAATCCATTGTTATCAGAATTGTTTGAATCAATTATGGGAATATACTATAAAATGATATATATGAGGCATACATGAGAAGACAACACATGAAAATATATATAGGACACAAGATTTAATAACAAAATTTTCCAAACCTGACTATCTCCTTGAATGGAGGCAACTAATTGAGAAGTGAATTGTAATGCCTCTTCAGAAAGACTTTGATTTAAACTTGGCTCCATATGAGGATAAAACCCATTCCAATTCTATATACAATAAATGATTATATGAACTAATTAAACAATTGTTTATGATTTACATTTCTTAAAATAATTGGACTTACAAAATTTCCATTTGCATTTCCATTTCCATTTCCATTTAAATAATCATTTTCAATATGTGGCAAAACATCTGCTAGATCATTCCCACCAGAAATCAATATATTATCATTATTATTGTCATTATTAGCATTATCAGGTTTCATTACAGCCATTTCTAATAAATCATTCATTTGATTTAATTGTTGGTATTGTATAGACTGAATATCATCAATTTGATCTTGTAAAATTTCAAGCCTATTTTTTGGGCAAGGCCGCTTTGATGATGCTGAAAAGGTATAAGTACAATCTCGTTGAGTTTTACTACAAGTCCCACAAGCTGGTCTTTCTTTGTCACATTTTACTTTACGTTGCTTACAATTGTCACAGGTTTCTATTGGTTTGAAACGTCTTGGCAACATGTTATGAGTCGGAAATAAGTTAAAGGTGTCGTTGTGTAAGTCAACAGGTGGCAAAGGTGGTGATGGAATTTGAACATGCATGCTTTGTTAATAAAAATTGTGTAATATCTAACTGCTAATTTAAAAAGGCTAATGTTAAAAAATTGTTGCACAAAAGAATAATACATGAATTTCCGGATAAATTCCGATCGCAGGAACCTGAAAAGCTACTAAATTTAGAAATTTTATTTTATTGTATAAATAACCTAAACAGCTATTCGGTTGCACGATGTTATTATATAAAATCATTAAAATATTATTTTTGCAATTCCGCTCAATTCTACCAATGAAAAATAAATTTATTTCCATCAAGAGTATTTTGGAAAAAGAACAATACGACCACACAAAATCTAATTTCCCACCCATAAACAATTCATATGATTCTCCAACTTTAACCATATCAACTACCATATGCGCTGATTTTGTTTGAACCCCAAAATCCAGTACGGTGTGATCATAACGTTATGAATACTTTATACTAGCAAAAACTCATTGGTTTTGAGGTGGGCCATTGGTTTGACGGGTTGATGGATAGTAAATTGGTTTTTTTAGCGGAGCAAATATTTTTTTTTAGGGTAATTATCATTCTACCGACCAGTTTACACATTAAAAATACTCGTGTTTAACATCGAGACACAATAAGACATAAGGTTTGAAAAAAGACCCAAAAAACCAAATCGGCTGATATGAACGTCGAGACACAATAAGATATAAGGTTTTAAAAAAAGGTCCAAAAAACCAAATTGGCTGATATGTCTTGTGCTCCTTTAAATTGCGATGCAGAGATGCAGAGACCGACATGCCCATGCTATGAACAATAATCAAAAAATGGAGAAAAAAAAAGTTGAACAATACTTTTTATTATAAGGCACGTGATTTAAAATTGACACTAATTTGTTTCACTTTATCTAATACTAAATCAAGATGAGATTTCAACAGAGTATAAACGTAGATAATAAAAGAGCTGATAGAAAGACTTTGTAAAGAAGTTAAAACTAATTAGGTTAGTAGAAAAATCTTATTAGATAAAAGAAAAATTGCAAATAAAATTGTTTATACGAGAGAATGTTTTTTAACTGCAATCAGATCATAGGTTTACGAATTAACAAAGTAATAAGTATAGAAGGAAATTAAATTATTAGAGAAGAATGATTACACTTATATTTATGAAATTATTTATTTTCATTTCTGATAACTGTTCATGATGTATTTTTTTTATTTTATTACTTTATAGTGGTGTTAATATTAATGAAAATTCCAAGTGGCAGTAATAGTAATAGTTGTCACTTTCAGGGGAGTCAAGTGTCACTCATATATAAAATTTTAGTGATCGACTAAAAAAAAATTTACCCCAATTTACACATTTTCTGTGCAATTATCCCCCCACCAAATTTTAATATTTATTAATATCCATACTTTTGGAAAATTTTTTGGGGCAGTTATAAAAACATCAACGATAATCTTAGCCTAAAGTTTGGAACATTTTCTATTTTTTGATAATAATATCGATGATCTTCACCACAATTACCACTAATTGAATTTTATTGTTTTTTTCTTCTAAACTTCAATTTTATACCTTTTCACCAATTTTTAAGACATTTAAAATAAATTGAAACGATGATCTTGTTTTGAAGTAAAAATGGAATATTGTTTTTGAATAGTTGTAGCTTCACTTAGAGAACCTTTTCGATATAGAAATATATTACGAAAGACTGCTTTGTTACACAGGTTGAATTCTTATTTTTAGATATTAATACATAATACACTCACCTACCATAAATATCTGGCCGCCTATGTCGTGTAATGTCAAATGAAAAAAGTCTTTACTAAAAAAGTAACGTTTTCTTAAAGACAATTTTACTTTACTAAGTAAACTTGTACTTGATATCAATATCTCTCAATTACAATAGCTTCGAAAGGTTTGGTATCAAATAGTCCAAAAAAAGAAATTTTCAATCGAAATTTACATGTGATAAAAGGTCAAATCTCTTTGTTATAATGTATATTGATTGCATCAATGAAACATGCTCAACGTAACGAATTACATATATCTACAATACGGTTTCGGAATAAACTAGTTCGTGAAAAGGGTTTAAAAAGTACCCGACCATCCGTAATTTGGAAACACAGAATACAATTTTAAGCCTTTACGTTTTGTTGTCTATACTTATCAATTTTTAACCATATATAATTCAAAGTATTTTAAGTAAACTTACTTTAATGACTTGATCCATAATTTAACGGAATTTTGAAGTTTTCATAAAATCACGGGATTTTTTATCTAATTTAAAATTTTCATCCTAAATTCATTAATAATGCAAACTCAACGAAACTTTAAGTTTATATGCAAATTAACTTTAAAAAAACATGTTTACTTTAATGCACCAGTCCCAAGGCGTAACATTTCCAATCATCATGCGAACGGATATTTATGGTAGGTGACATTTGATCTGCAATGTCCCCACGATTATAATCAAAATTTTTTTTAGTAAATGTGATTTGGGGCATGCTGCAACAAAACCAGACAAAGTGAACATTGGTATTAGCAGAATTTCAGGGATCAAAATTTAGTCATTTGTAATGTGATTATAATTAACAGTTTTATAGTATCTCATTTTCTATCTTGAGTGATACATAGAACTGACTATACATGTCAAAATTAAAAGTCGTGTGACGCAATTAGTTTGGTGTGAGACGCATTGACGCAGACGCAAGAATCAATTCGTGACGCCAGACTCATGAGTGATATAAACTATCTGAAAGTGATGTTTTCAAATCTTGCAAAAATGATAAAAATTACATTATTTATTTATTTGCAATAATTCTATATATTTTATGGAATTAATTTAAGGTATAAACCTTTTTTTTTGAGTTATCCACGATTTTCTACTTCACAACTTTAAAAGGTTATGGTCTAATTGAAAAACTTTTGTATGTATTATATTCATTATATAAAATATCCATAATTATAAGCAAATTAATATTTTATTATATGGGGGTTCTCTAGCAAAAGGTGCCCTCTGATCAAAATTGAGTTTTTTGCATAATATATATTTATATTACAAGGATTATAACTGGTGAAAAAATCAGATCATGTTTATTTAGTAAAAAAACGAGTGATCAGGCAATAAAGAATTTTTTAAATTAATTAATTTGCACAAAGTCTTGGATTGATCCACAACCCCATTTTTATTAGTTACACCAAGTTTGATAAAAAATAAACGTAAATAATAAATACATGATATTAATATTAATATTAATATTAATCAGGGTTTGGACAGAGAATGTCTTTATATGGATTATCTACATACTGATGAATGTTAGCAAATAAATATTTTTTTCAATCTTCTGATAAAGGAACAACTTCAAGAAAATTTAATTGTGTATCTTAATCAAAATTTGTATTCTTTAAAAGATTATAAAAGCATTCTTCTCCACCAGATTTTTTTGAAAAATAAACTATTCCAATATCATTTGATGAACTGCTAAAGCAAAAATGATGATACTTTGTTATATTTGGTAAAGTTCTAAAATGATCTTTTAACATTGAATTAAAGTCTTTCCATTTCCAACCTAACCCATTATTATATCCAATAGACTTATTATCTATAGATGATTTGTTTATAACCACCTCAACATCATCAACAGTATTTATACAACTGTTCTTGTATGCTTTTTTAATAGATCCAAATTCAGCATCACAAATAAATTTTGTGTGCCCAGGTATCATAAAATTTATATAAATATTCTCATACCAACCCAACATTGTTAACCATGACCAAAACCAAAGAGACAAATTGTTTTTATTTTGTCCAGGACAATTATCACATGTGACATAAAGATCTTTTTTATCAACATGACAATTCTTTAGGAGAAAATCAAAAACCATATTCAAAGTTGTGTTGGCTCCTTTTTTTGATTTTCCTTCTGGTAATTCATCTTCTCCTATAGTATAATTTAACTGATTATTTTTTCCATCATCTGTCTTACCTACACCAAAAAGGAATACAATGAAAGGAGTTTTGAAATAAATTGATCCAGGTTGCTGAGAAGAAAATGGAGCTGCAACGCTTTGGGCCCAATCATAACAAATGTGTGTTGTTGTTTGATCATTTTTACTTTTCTCAATTATTTTATTATAATGGCTTCTTTCCCATTCTGCATTTGTTTGATGTTTTCTATATTCAAGTTTAATATTTTCTTTTTCATCATCATCATTTGTAGATCTTATATCTCTTATAAATGCTTCACAAGTATCACAAAGATCAGTTCTAGGTGGTTGAAATTTAATATATGGCGTTAATTGTTTCCATAGTTTGTAAAATGTATTATATTCAATGGGTTTAATGGATTCATATTCCAAATCAAAATAATTTCTAAATTCCTCATACACTGTAGTATAATTTAAATAAGTTGGTAAATAAATGATTGATTCTGATTCAGCAGATGGTAGTCCATGTAAATTTGAGTATTGCAATAAAAAATTCTTAAATAATTGTGCAATTTCAAGATTAACAGTTGCACATGATCTATTTTGAGGAACTTTACCAGTATTGCCATGTATACGATCTATTAAGCCACTTGTTTTTAAATGCTTTTGCAAGGCCTTTAATTTTTTTATACTAAAACCACTTAAGTTCTAAAAAAACTGTTTGACAAATGGGTATTGATGAATTATATTGATAATAATAAATATCCTTTTCTTCATCATCATCCTCATCATTTAATTTAAAAACCATTAATTGTGTTTTAATACAAAGATCCAGTTCATTGCCTTCTAATCCTTTTAACCGGAGTTGTCTTTCTAAAAAATTTCTAAAGCCAATTTTTTTAAAACATATTCTATCTTTTGTTTTACGACATTTGCGATTTGATTCATTTTCAAAAAATAATTTCAAATTCTCAACTGCTTCAAATACCAATTCATTTGGTTCATATGCTTCTAATCCTAAATCATATAGCTCATCTGGTAAAATTAAATTCTCAGGTGATAGTTCCATGCCATGAATTAAATCTACAGATGATTGATCTAAATTTGAAGA